AATCTGCTCTCAACATTCTAATCAGCATTCTGCTATTTTATCCAAGTAGGCAACCAGAAGACAGCGACCAAAACCGGAGCACGAAAGTGCATGGTTAATGGTTGTAAGAACTAAACTGAACTAATCTGTTTGCACATTGCGATTTGGAATAAGTTTTCATCCCAAATTTGAGATTTCGGTACCCGATGGCTGACTGATCTCCGTAAGTTAACTGCCCGCTACTTCTCGACTGATAACGAGGGAAACTGCAATTGTCTGGTTTCCGGTCAACCACGAAGGCACGATCATGACAAATACAATGAATTTCAGACATTTCGGGCGGTGGTGACCCGATGGTAACGTCACCAAATTATCATCCCGGAGGACAAGTGTTCGAATCGCACCATCACCACCTGACTTTCCCCATTTGTGTGTTGTATGGCAGCTCTTTGATTGGCCGCTNTTGTATGGCAGCTCTTTGATTGGCCGCTTCCCCCTTCCTGAGGATTGTATCATTGTGTTCAATAAAAGGAAGTATCTATTTAAAAAATAAACCTTGTGACTTACAAAAGTTAGCTGATAGTGAAATATCCAATGAGTTTCTACTAGTTCTGTATCTACTGGTTATCTTAGTAACTCTTAGAAAGACGCCCAACCACCGGAGTCGTTGTGCTTCACTACATTCCGCTATACAATAATGATGATGATGATAAAGACAATGATAATGATAGGATTCTATTTATGCTTTTAAAACTTTAGGACTTTCAATTCCGGTTAAATGACAATACCGACATGTTTCTCTAGCAGAATCATTCTCGTGACATTTGAATTTACCAATTCTATTAAAGTGATTTAAATTTATTGCTGTTTCACAAATTTTGTCTACTTCTTTCCTTCACATACTGTGTGCACTTCAGCACACTTTGACCCTTTGCAATGCACTCGGCGTGTCTATGGGCTCGAAACGCATTCAAATGGAACCCACGCATGTCATCATGACACCCAACCAAGTTTTAGCTGTGAATACGAGTCTGATCTACGCGTGGCAATTTTTCAATCCGAAAAATCTGATTGGAATGCGATCGGCGCTGACTCCCTTAGCCAGTAGTCATTATGAAGGTTCTGAAAGGTGAGTACTGATAAAGCACAGATATACAAATGTGTACGGTGTTGTTGTACCTATTGATTGTTAGACAACCTTATTCCGATAGTTTAGTCTACTGGTGTTAGTACCTTTCATGTGTAATTTCTTTGCACCTAAAAGTAGCCACTCACCTGGTTCATCATTTCACTTGTTTGTACCTATAATCTCTTTGTTTACTTATCTCGGTTAAATGTTCTTCAGCCCGACCTTTGTATCAATCGCTCTCAGGCCAGTGTTAATCCATTTTATGTTCTTTATTGGTTGACCAGGTGGGTAAACAAAGGATGCTCTTTGTCAATGTGGGCTACCGTGAAGTGTACAGTGTACTAAAACCCCAGGTAATCATTTGGAAAGCCCTCTTTTTCATCTCTGTGGCTCATCCCCTCACTAATTAACACACGAGATGCCTCCTAGTTCCGGCACTCTGGGTATAATAGTAAAAGTTTAAACAGTTAGATGAACCAATCATAGTGGATGGAATTATGGAATGAAGATTTCATCTTCACTTAACCGCATTCAATGTCTGCACATTATTTCTTGAACGCCAACAAGTTTACCCTAGCTAGAATTCATGAAACTTTCAATTGAAACGTGTGTTGTGTCTCCGCAACACTTATACAAGATCCGACATTAACTACCACATTGGGTTTTTAAGATCCAATCTTATCCTTATTCTTTGTTCTACGTGTGTCAGGCGATTTAGCATCTGACGCTCATGGTGTTGTTAGTGTAGAGATTGCGTTGAGTATCAAGGCTGAGCACTCTCTGTTTGATCGAATTTCAATCAGCCTCGAATTGGGCGCCGTGGAATTTGGTGGTTAAGTTCGGGTCATCAACTGCCGGTGGTTGTAGCGCAGTAGTTTAGTTGCTGTCACCGGCGTGTGGTCGAGCCCCGCCACCGCCACCCAACTTCGGTGGTAGGTAGCTGTGATATCAGCCGGTTGAATACCTATTGGCGTCTCATGTGGTTCATTGCTGCAAGTTCTGAGGCTTGAGTTCCCGGTTTCTATCACCGAACAACAGATTCTCATGACTGTGGTAGCTTTTCCCATTTTCTGTTACTCGTACTAAGATGTGTATTAAAAAAAGGAACGAAGCGTCGGTGCTTATTCATCTTGTCTGCCTACTGATTGGCTGATTGCGGTGCAGCTGAAACGGCAAATCATTTCTACAATAACCTCTATCGACTATTCATGGTAGCCTCTGGTAATTTTAGTGCCAAAGTTGGATACCTGGACGAATCAGAAAGTCACCTAGGTGATCCATGTACAATTTCAGCCAGTCGGGGGGACAATGGAGGAATCCTACTTCAACTGTTCGCACACCTTAGTTTAATACTGTCAGGCCACAACTTTGACAATAGATGTCTCCAGTCCACATGGAAACCCCCTAATACTTCTCAATGAAGGGCTATAATTGATCACATTGCAGCTAGATATCACTGATGAGGATCCCTTTAAGATTAACACTTAATGGTCAATACCCGTAGATACGGACCATGCTCGGTTGCAAACGAGAGTTTGCATACACCTGATAAAGAATTTCATTAAAGTCGCTGAAAGCGAATTGGCCTGCAAAGCGGGGATCTGTCATCGCCTCTCAGTCTAAACACCACTAGAAAGACTCAGTGAGCACTGGAAGTTGATCAAGGAAACTATTTGAATGTCTATCAAAACAACCGTGTATTGTGTTACAAGATCCAAGAACAAATTATGGATCTGGTGGACTTCAACTGCTTTTCTGGACGCTCTCAAACCCATTTCTTCAGATGCCAAATATCACACTGTTCATAGCCTTTAAACGTCAGCTCATCAAGAGCCCCGGGTAATGACTGCGAGAAATGATGAGTAGGAAAATGTGAAGGCAAGGAGAAGGATTCAGCCATCGCAATTGTTTCGGTCTAATTAGGAATACCATTCCACGGAAATTAATCATAAGATTTTCTACCGCCTGCTTCATCTGGATAATTACCAGTCTTACTTCCGAATTTGAGATTACCCTGGGAAAAAGTTATAAAGTTTAAGGGGCTTCATGGGTTCTACCCTTTCAAGCATGAAGGTTCAGCCCTGGTATTGGAGGGGAAGAATCCCCTCGGTTCTATATGGGAAACAGAAAAGGTTCCAGCTGAATGATGAGAATCGGTCATCTTGCCGGCCACCACGGAAGAGGATAGAGGAATTAGTTTGATCAACCACGTACATGAGCTGTTCTTTGGAACTATGCTCCGTCGATAGTGTCTATCGCATGTGAGCAGTGCATGCGTTAGGACTAGGTTGGTTTTAGACCTGATCAGTCAAACATTTCCCCATCGCTCGCCGCATCCTAGAATGCAAAATGTTCCTATCACAGACTTACTCTTCTATTCTCTCTAATCTGAAAGCATTCTTCTTCTCCTCAGTCGACCCCTCCACAACATGACACTGAATCTTTTTGAAGGATGAACTGGAACAGTTTTTTTCAATACAAACATGTCTTCATGATAATAATTGAAGACGTGTTCCAGATTTCGGCTTTTTCTTCCGAGTGAACCAAGAAAAAAGTGGTTTTTCAGAGTTACTGTTTACCTTCTTTTCCATGCAGCTTTGTAATTGATATGATTCTGGAAACAGCTCTGTCCTCGTTCAAGGGTAGTGGCATCAATGTATGCCCAAACGGTAACTCAGTTGATCTAAAGCACGCAGATCACATTCTAAAGCTAAGAGGAGATCCAGTTCAGTTGCGAGCTTTTCTGGAAGGTTTGAATGGTAGTGTAGTTACCTATGTTTGGCATGGGGTTGCATATCCAAAGTGCAGCGGTTACCACAGGACTGATTTGGTCCACTTCCTCACCGCACACTAACTGGGAAAGCATTAGAAAGGGTGAACAGATTTCGTCACTTATGCTGCCGCATTTCATCTAGCAGGCGGCGCATCATGGATAAAGTTTTGGCACGCATTCAGCAGGTTCGGTTTATGTCTACCGGTTTGAGAAATGTTTGGTGTAGCTGCAAAATTTGGTTTTCCGTAGTGGGTCTAGTGTAT